CTGTGTCTGACCCCACTGCGTGATACAGGAGTGGGACGCTGGTCCAAAAGAAAGTTCATTCTTCTGGCTCACCCTCCAGTTACATCATTCTGGGTCTTTCTTCTCTAACTCCCCCTAAGTGCAACCCCAGAAGCAAAATCTGGGGAAAGGGGGTATCTCCTCTTCTGGCTGGCTGGTCTGTGGCTCTCTACAAACTCCTTGACGGTTCTTCAAGCCATGCGATGACCATTCTCTTTTGACTCTACTGTCTCCCATCTGCGGGTGGCTGTATGGGCGCAGGGAAGCTCTGCCCCCCCAAAAAATAAAAATACAAGCAAGCGCATGTCCATCGTAGCCTCATCAGAGCAGGGGAGCGAGGTCGTGAGCAGCAGCTGCAGCTTCACTCGGATGGGAAGCGGGAGCTCAGGTCGTTGCTGCTCATGAATGATAAAAACTCAAGGCAGGCTCTGTGTGCAAACAGGCACGTTTGATCATGGGCTGCACTTCAAGGGCTTCTTCATGGTCAATGCGTGAACAAATGCCTGGAATCCTGATGGCTCCTTCCATTGCCATTCCCTTCCCTTCTCTGGGGGCCTGGATGCGCCACTGGTGGCAACGTTGGTGTCACCTCTACTACAAAGACAGAGACAAGGGCCCTGCTAACACCTTTAGCAGCAGGAAAGCAAGGTTTTCTGATCCCTGTGGGAGCATTTGTTCCTTCTGGTCCTGTTAATCAGGCTCCCATGTCAGAACAGGCTCTGCTACCTTCCCCAAAGACATTTCTAATCTCTGTATCTCCTCACTTAGCATTAACTGAGCTCTTTCACATGGATTTACACTGCAGGTGCTAACCAAGCGCCTCCTCATGTCTTACAAGATTCCCTGTGTTCCCATGGAAATCCCTTAAGCTCTACTTGGGTCGTTTTTCTCTTTTTCTTGCAGTTGAAGAACCTGAAGCCTCCGGTCAGCCTCTCGTGGAGAGCATTTTACAGAGTGGGAATGATTAACACTGAGCAACAAATTGGAGAGCAAACCCAGACCAACGGTGGTCACTGCAAGAGCTGGGAAGACCTTCCATGCAACTCCTGTGCTTGTAGACACAGCTGGTTCCCATGCTGCAAACTCCTAAAGCAGCAGACTACACTTTCCGACCCAATAATGAAGCTTACATGGTAATAATAATAACAATAATAATAATAATAATGATAAGGAAGCTATATTCAAAACTGTTCATTTAGGTTCAGCTGTTCACCAGGTCAAAATTACATTGTGTTTTATGAAATGGAGACATTTCATCATTGCTCCCTCCTTTCCTCTCACAACCAGCACAATTCACTTTGGAAAATAAGGCAATTTTATCACTGTCAGCTCTCTGAAAGACACTGTCATTTTTTTTTCTGATAGAAAATGAACACCTAAGACTTGAATTATGTTGAATAATGCTGAATCAGCAACTCAGCCCAGGCTTGACTTATCTCTGACATAATCTCTGTGTAAACATATAAGTTTATTTTGAGGGGTAAAGGAGAGGACGGGCAGGAAAGGAGGCAGAAGACAAAGAATAAGAACAAGAATCCAAATTCAGAGCTGGATTTTATCCCTCTCATAGCAGATGGGTCTGAAAATTCAGAAATTTGGAGGCATCTGGAATCCGTTCTCAAGCCCAGACTTTGCAGCATGTGCCTGCATAATGCATACAGGAAGAAAACGCTGCTTTTTCTCTAACGCAGCAGTGAGTGCCCTAACAACTGATTGCATTTCTGCTGCCCTAGATACTGTACACACACGTAAGGGAAAACCTATTAATACTGGCAAGAAACGCTGCAAATGCCCTTTTGCAATGCAGAGAAGTGCACAAATCTCAGCAGTCAGAACCAGTGTTTTTTATTCCCGCCAGTGCAGAGCTCATTCCCAGAGCCTGCAGAAATCAGCAGCTGCTTTTTCTCCTGATGGAAACGTGCTCACGCTCTGAGTCGTGACACTCGTCAACCTTCCCTGCCCATGTCATGTACATTTTACATGTCCAAGGACCCGAGGGGAGGATGGAGGGAGGAAGGGCCAAGCTCTTGTGGGTGGTGGCCAGTGGCAGGCCAAGGGGCCCTGGGGCCAAGCTGCAGCGCAGGCAGCTCCACGTGGCCGTGAGGAAGAGCTTGTTTGGTGGGAGGGTGCCCGAGCCCTGGCCCAGGCTGCCCAGGGAGGCTGCGGAGGCTCCTGCTCTGCAGATCTGCCAGCGCGCCGGGATGCGCCCGGGTGCCCCGTGCTCTGGGTGTCCCTGCTGGAGCAGGGGCTGCCCTGGGGGAGCACTGGGGTCCCTTCCAACCCCAACCATCCTGGGATGCTGGGATCCTGTGATCTCTACCTTCACGTGAGAACCTCTAAGCAAAGCTCAGTTGGAGCAAACTCACTCCTTGCATGAGCAGCACTCCCAAAGCAGCAAGCCTTGAAAAAGCCTCTTGCTACCTCTAAGTGCCTCCACCTCTGGAAAAGGACTGTCTTAAAACACACTGCAAGGAGGACGATGTCTTTATGGTTAATTGTGGCTCTTTGCTCCTTGACCTCTGAGCATCATGCTCTTTTGGGCATGCGAATACAAAGAGGGCAAGGAAACAACACGGTACCAAACTGCCCATCTGGGACAAGCCCTTAGTCAGGTGCCTTGAAATGCAACTTGGATCCTACTTGGAGGACAAAGAGCTCTATAAAAGCCTGCTAAAAGCTATTTTCTGCAGGGAAAAAATAAATATCACGTCTTTCCTTGCCCAAAAGATCCCATATGAGCGCCTATGACTTCTTTCAAACAAGCTCCATAAAGAAACTGGAATGAATGTTGAATTCTTTTGCATAAGGGCAGATGCAGAGAGCAAAAAGGGAGCTGGCACAGTGTGTTACTTCTAAAATAATCTCTATAATATCCCCTAGAATTAGTAAGGATCATCTACGTCCCACCTGGAAGCAAGGCAGCAAAGACACCCCAGGTAGCAGGAGGGCAGGGGGAGAGAAGGAGAAGGGCAAGCGAATACTTCTCAGTCAGCTCTGGCCCTGCTTGTACATGTGAAATAACCCCTCACTCTCTGGTTTTCAGCTTCAAAAAGGCAAAAAGTGATAGCTACAGCACAAAGCGCTTAAAGATTCATACAGGAGAGGGATCACAGCAATACAAATCACTTTTATCCGACATCATTGATCTCATCTTGTGCTTTCGGAGGGGGGAACCGCTATGTTGATTTTATCGTTTGAGTAGACCTTGGTAACTGGGATCCCCAGGGGAACGTTAGAGCTTGCTCAGGTAATTGTGAATTCAGGTGAGCAGGGCAGGGTTCGGATGCAAGGGAGGACTTGTTTATGTGAAGGGGGAATCCACATGATAAGCATTCGGGAGTCATCTGAAGAACAAAGGGATAAAACACACTCCAATATCAGAGAAATCAGCCCCAAAAGAAAGAGGGAAGCCTGACAGTGAGAAAAGCTAGAAAAGGGCATTTTTTAGCTGTCGAATTTGTATTATGGGGGGAAATGTGAATCAGAAGAACCATCAGGTAGATGCTGCTGCTGTGCAAAAAGCTCAGGTACAGCCAGTGAGCTCCACAGCTCTCGACGGTGGTGGCCGAGCAGCTAAAAGGGCACAGGAGGAGATCTGTTTGCCACGAAACTCATGGAAGAAGAGGGCTGGTGTCTGCGTTTGATGTCCTCAAACCTGCTGGTCTGGCACATCATAGAGCGGAGCGAGATGGGGAAGGAGGAGCGTGTTCCCTCCTCACCCGTCCTGTCAAACCCCACATGAAGTTCTGCAGCTCTGGAAGTCACGGTGCTGCTGCCACTCGATCCTTCCAACGTGTAGATACCTCTGCAGAGAAGGGCTGGTCTTACTCTGCCCACCTCCTGCAGCACTTGGTCAGCATTTTGTCCTGTGGCTGCCAGCTGTGGATAGCACATGCTCGAGGCCAGCTCTGCCTGCCAAAAAATCTGGGCTAATTTGTTGAAAATTTCAACTGAATAGGAAAAAAAAAAACATTTAAAAGGGAAAGATTGAATTTGGGAATTATGTTCCTTGGAGAGTTAGTAATGGAGCTCGCTCTCTTTCTCTGCCTCCCTCAGGCCTCAGCATTCATAACTTCCCCATGTCAATGTTATTATGAGCAGACTAATTCAATAATGAGATCATTCCCCATATGAGAGTGCAAGTAAATGAGGCACTCAGTCATACCCTCCTTTCCCTCCTCTGAAGCAGTCAAGCTTCTCTCATCATTTAGTCCCTAAGACCAATGGCCAAACAGTGACACCAACCACCTCCAGTGTTTGTACCGGTTCAAATCCAAGCATCACACAAAACTGTGTCATTTGACCTTGTCATTTGACCTATATGCCTTAAAATGCAACGTCCAGCTTCTTCCTTTGGCTATTTTTTGGGCTCAGATACCCATTACTGAACCCCTTACTGCCTCAGGGATCTAGGCAATACTCTGCAAATGAAGTAGCAAGAAGGGTGACATACTTGCAAGCTGACACGTCTTGTTTTTATTTTGGTATCGCCATTATTTTGAAGAGCAAGAGCAACAGAAGTTGAAGGGAGACATCTGGAATCCCTTAGGCTGATGCATGCTGTTTTGGTAAGCTTAAATCTTCAAAAAATTACCAGCTTGTAGCCGAAGTAGAACTCATCAGGCCCAAGATCCCCCTGGCCTCAGTCTCACCCAAGACCTACACCTAGAAACTTCTCCTTTCCTGGGCTTAGGTCTTCAGAGAACTGCACCACCAAGAAGCCCTACACATAGGTATTTTGGTGGGATCTCCACTCCAGGTTGATGCTAAGCTCAGACCCTGCTGTTCTGACTGTATCTCAGCAAGCCCCCCCCGTACAACAAGGGGGAAAGGGACCCCTCTGACGGACACTTGTGTCACTTTAATTTCATTTTATTGATCCATCCAACTTAACAGATGGGTTAACCTCTGAAAGGAGCCATGGCTGTACCCATGGACATCCAAGTAGCGAGTGATTCGATGACACGGAGGTCACAGCTCACCTTGCAAAGTCCAGGTCGGCTTCACGGGACATGGTGATGTTCGTCAGGTTCTGCTGCAGGATGAAGATGTTCCTACACATCTTCTTGATGCCGGATTCACTGATGCGCTTGAAATAGTGGGCACCATTGATAAGGATGCAGGAAATAAGATGGCCCAAGCCTGTGAGAAGGGAAAAAAAATCACAAAGATCACAGGAAGAAGACATTTAGTGACAATAATTCATCATAAGAAGAGTGAACGGGCTCCATTAAGCAATGCATGCAGTCTGGAAGAGGAAACACCACAGGACCTATCTGCAAACAGCCTTCAACATTTTTAGAGGTCTTTCCTCAAAGTCTTCTTCCTTAGTAAAAATATAACCGTGCAAACTCCAAGTTGCATTAACATAGTCATTGATCCCTCAGAAATGTACAGAGCGCTAGATTTATAATGAAGCTTCAGATGATGACTCTTTTGATGCCCCTCTCTCCAGCGTGGTGATGGATCACTACTCTCACCGCCTTAGAAATTACAGTATTTCTACCAATAATCAAAGAAAAAGGTGATTTTTTTTTCTCATAAATACTCAGCCCATGACAGCAGAAAAAGTAACCTTTGGGGGGAAAATACAGGCTGCCTTTCAATGCATTTCATGTGTGTTCTGACCATGAAAGCACCTCTGCTCCAGGTGTTTGAGAAGAAAGACAGCAGTACAGGCACATGGCAAGGCTAATGATTAGGGGAAAAATTGGGGATTTGGTTGTAAATCTTATACAGAAATATTGTTATGGGAGAACAAACATGGAAGTTAAGAACCTCTTTTCACAAATGTGTGTCTTCTATCCGAATGAGATCTTCATCTTTCCTCCCCTACTAAAAGTCATAGCCAGCTGGTCACAACCAACACCAGAACGATGCATCTATTCACACCTCATTACAAATAGAAAAAAAAAAGTACACAGGTCTGAATAATACTAAGCATGATAAAGGCCTAAATTAGGAAAATTTGCTCATGTACAGCCAAGGAGGACTGTTTATACGTAAATCTTAAGACTGACTTTAAAGCTGCCTACACTTGTAAAAGGCTGTGCGTAGAAATCCAGCCTTCTGGACCAATGGTCCCTATGGACCTCTGTGGTCCCTATGTCCTCTGTGAAAAGCCATTTTGCTTAAGCTGAGCAGATACCATAGACCTAATTGGTAGCAGAGGAGTCCTCAGTGTGCTGGTGATCACTCAGGTTAGGGAGGATCAGCTCTGTCCACATCCAACAAGTGCCTGTCCCTTGGCAGCGCATATTCCAGTCTTGCACTTGGCAAGGTGTCCAACATTCTTGTTCAGCACAAGACGAAAAACTGTACAATGAAATGGTTATATGGATATGTGGGGATACTGAAGACCTTCTCTTGAACCAGTAAGCAGTGCACAAGGAGGTTAAGCAAGCCAGGAAAGCCTTGAGCCCTGCTAGCACAATATATAGGAGCACCTCCAGTCCCCACCTTCTCCTGCCTCTGAAAAACCAAGGCATGAAATGACATCCTGCCACACAGGCAACCAAGGTGTGCGTCAGTGCCACAAATAAATAGAGGGGAGATGAACCAAATCACGATTTATATTCTCAAAGGTTATCAGAACAGATGAGACATCAGAACAGCTCATGTTCTCTAAATGTAATTTTAGAAATGGAATGGCTACACTTTGGATAGAAACGGTGCTGTAATGGAGCTATGCTCATAATATATACACATGTTCTACAGCCTCCTATGGCAGAACTTGTCCTGTGTGTTTATCAACTTACTGCTTTCAGTAAGTTGACTTCAGCATGAGCCCGTTTCTTTTATTCAGCCACACATGCTCAGAAATGGTGTGGAGGCAACAGGGTTTTGAGTACCCTACATTTCCATGGATCTCACTGATCAATCTGTGTCTTACTGGGACAAATTTTTCAGTTTAGGGCAAAGACTGGAGTCATTTCATCCAAATGAAACTCTTGGTGGTACCACACACTGTGGAACACCTCCTTCATCTCCTCCCCATACTCCTCTGTGACAACAGCAGAGAGATGAGGAGTGCCTGACCTTCAAAGATGTACTGGAACTTGTGTTGCTGGAGGCTGGCGCTCATGGCCTCCTCGATAGCGCTGATGTCCTTGTTGAGCCGGACCACGAGGGGGTCATAATCCATGCTCTCCACGTTGGCGATGATGGCGTAGTTCCCTTGCTTGGCCAGCGGGATGAGATAGTGGAAGCAATGAACCCTACGAGGCAGAAGAGAGAAACGTCGTAATACAGCAAAGTCAAAGGGGTAAAATGACAGCAGGTGACACTCCAAAAAAACATGGTTCTAGATGGGAAAACTCCTGCAGCAGGACGTTCTTTTTGTCATGAACAGAAATGCCAGCAACAACTTGACAGTTCCACATGTTCAAATCCACTAAAGCCTGTAGAGGTCCCAGAGGAGGAAATGAAAATCCATCAACCACAAAACACAGGTCTCAAGAGGCATCAGTGAATGATCTGGAGGGAGCATATGTCTGCATTGTCTGCTTTGCCTTTGGTTTCTCAGCTGAGACTGGTAAGGAGGAGGAGAACTGCAGAGGCCACTCCTCTGCATGGAAAATGTGCTCCGTGGCCTTGATGTCAACCTCAAAACCTCCTTCTGCCAACCCACCAAGTAGCACCAAGATCCTTGCAGGATGTCTGAATGTTTCTATGTTCTTCTGCTTGCTTCATGTGAAGACTTTTTGTTGCATTACCACCACCAAGGCAAACAAAGTTTACAATTTTTAAATAATTAACCCAACGTTTCATGTGCTAGCCAGTCCTCAAACAGAATCTGATGAGCAGCATTTCCTTCACACCTCAGCAGAGGTTAAGGCTGCTCTTGGAGCCAGGTTAGTCTTTTATTTCTCCCTCCAGATGTGAAGGTGTTTCTGTTCACCTTGACTTGACTTTGCCATTAGGTCCTCTGAAGACACTGCTGTTTGCCCATTAGGAAAACCATGAACACAGGACATTGCAGGAACACACAGTTGCTACTGAGCTCAGCTAAGCTCAGGTCAAAATCTTTCTTTTAATAATAAAAAAGTCAAAACAAGCAGAATACACAGTTTGCCCCAAGTATTGCCTTCTTATTTCCTTTTAATGTTCCAAGAAGTGAAAAATAACCATGATTTTAAGGAATGGCAGGCAACTTCTGCCTTAAATGCACCCTCCTCCTGACATGCCACTGTCCTAGCTTTAGAGATAAACACAAAGGACCTTTCATCATTAGATGTGATCTACACTTCTACTGATAAGATGCTAAGTGCCTTTCACCAGGTGCTCCAACCTCACTCAGGCTGGTCCAGCAAGTACTTCACTACTTGAGTGGAATCTCCTTCTGTGGACTATAACAATGGGCATAATTGGCAAAAAGAGTGAGTCAAGGGACATGAAACAATAACTAACAGGCCAAGGAAGTCTGCGCCTATTCCCAAGGATTTAACGCCCTTGCAAATATTTTCTTTTCCAGTGACCTGCTCAGTAGAAGGTCTGTAGGCAGTGAGCTCTCCCATCAGTGGAAAAATCCTCTGCACTCAAATCCTCTGCTAGTGCTCTGCAAAAAAACCCCAAAATAAAATAAAACAAAAACATAATTAGGGTGTTGAGTCATTTCTCTAGAACCTATAAAGGAAAATGTGGTGTCCAACAAAACTTCGGAGTTCAGTAGTACTTGGATTTCACTTGCATCATGTAATGGGGTTGGAGATAGGAGGTTCTCTGGGTTCTTTTGAACATCACCTGTCTGAGAAACTGGACCAAGTCACAACCCGGATGAAATATCCCTCACACTGCTGAAGTTGCATTTATAACTGAGGATCTTTGGTGCACTGAGACCTCAAGTTAGCGCAGAACTGACCTAAGCAGCAGGGAGCAGTGCTGGGGTGGCAGAAGTTCTGATGAACATAGCCTGGCTTTGCTAACCCCAGCCTCCTGGAAGACGTCCTTGAGTTGGCCATTAGGAGCAAGCTCAATGTAGGGTAATCCCAAGGGCAAGCCTGCTAAATCCGGGGGGATTTTCCTGGCCATTCGCATAGCCTTTCCCTGCTCCTTTTCAGACTGGGGCTGTGAGAAGCAGGGGACTAGAGGAGGTAGGAAACGCTCAGCTCCAAAGAGACAGCCAAAACGCTTCCCAATTTGCATTTGCATTTACTTCTGCTTGCAAATGAACGGTCAAGTGTGATGGGAAACCCATGCAGGAACCTGTCCAGACTGGTGCCGACACCACAAGTTCCAGGTCAGCTCCGGCATCACCTCGTAATACATCTCAGCTGGAAACCTGCTCCATTTCCATACCTTAACAACCTCTTCCTCAAATTCTTCAAGCCTCAGCTCATGTGTGATGCCTATGATGAAGTGGTGGGCAGATGACGGATGGCGGGTTGAAGGGCTGCTGACAATAACTAATGTGTCTTTTTCTCACAGCTACATATTGACTTCACCAGGGCTCTGCCAATGCACGCCACGACGTGACACGGCTCAGGACATGTCACAGCAGAGCAAGCTGGTGGTCCATCAAGGCTCACTGCCCACTCCTGACACTCGTTTATGTTTGATGCTTCAGAGAGAGCGGAGCAATGAAAATGCACCTGGACAGGGTGATGCACGGGGGGACAAAAAAGTCTTTCCAGCCCCACAGTGGACAGCTGGCAGCCTGAAGAAAGAGACTTGTGGCCTTTGATATTTGCATGTGTAGTCAGGGACATAATAAAATTATCCAGCCTTTTAAAAAACCCAGCTGGTGCTCACCCTCTCCCCCGGTTTCTGTTGCTGCTTGAAAAAGTAGTAAGAAAAGCTCCTATTTACAATCCAAAGCACAATGGGTGATGAATGCGCAGGCACCTGGTAGACTATAAAAACATCATTGTGCAATTTTCCAAGAACAAAGCCCCAGAAAACGCATTTTTCCTCATCGCTGCCACATCAGGGGACAACGGAAGAGCAACAGTTCTTTTGTGCTGCCCTCCTCCCGCATCAGGACCAAGAGATGGGCACTTGCTGAGCTCGATGGGCAGCCACGACCTGTAGGGCCAGGTCATTTCTACTTCACTGAGAGTCAACTATCTTCTAGGAGAGGGAAATCCACTTACTCAGGTCCATACGTAGATAAATTATAGTGATGTTTAAGACAGCTTCCTAGCAGCAAGTCCAGAGCAGAGGTCTCACAAGAGCTGAAGAGCAGCAAGTGCTGGACTCAGCCTCCCTGTGAACTTCCAGTTTAGGCTTCATGTCTCCCTCCCACTTTGGGTTGTCCAAGCGTGATGAGATCTAGCATTTCTGGAATGTCTTCCATTCTCTTGAACTTAGCTGCTACAGCAAACAAATATATCTGCCCCAGGTGCTGTAACAGGTGCCTCTGGATATATTTTCAGCCCATGGACTCCAAAGCTCACCCACAATCCCCGCACTCAGGCCTTTTACCTGACTTCCAAATGCAGAACCAGTAGGCAGCGGTCGGCCATCTCTTGGAAAGACTTGGCCAGCTCACTAAGGCTTTGCATGATCTGCTCGTAGGCTGGAAGGTGCTCCATGCTGGCATGGCCATCCTGGCCAGGAGACAGGGCTAGCAAGAGAAAAGAGGATATATTTGTGACATATTTAATCAGCACAGCTCTGCTTGAGCAGCTACAGCATCTTGTTTGCTCCCATCCTGACTATGCACGTTCTCTCCCAGCTTTGGCTGAGCAATATAATCCGGGAGTATATGAAGCAACAAGCCGCAATTGATTAAATCCCAAAGTGAATCTGAGGGGTTTAATCAGCCACCAGAACCCATTTGCTTGGAAAGACCCTGCTATGTGATGGGTATTTCTGTAGCTGCACATTCCAGGGACATTCATCTCGCTTTGCTTAGATCAAGAGAAATGCTGCTCAGGAGTCACAGTATGGTACTCAGAGGAAACATATTCCTTTTTGGTCACATATCTCAAGTGAATCATCTGATCTCTCTGCCTGCCCGCATCCCTCCAGAGGTATGTGGGAGGCTTCCTTCATTCTTGTTAAAAAACCACATCTTTTAGGCACTGAAGTGGTTGAAGAACAAGCAAAAGATACAAGCTGACTGTGGGGTTGTCTCCAAAGTTATGCCTGAACCAAGGTGCTGTTGTGCACAGGGGACAGCTGAGATGATTCAAAAAAAAAAAAACCCCAATCTTTTATTCAGTAATCAGAACATCTGCAGACACATTTTCATCAACTACTGATTGCCATCCCACCATAAGCATGGAAACGACCAGTGTTTCTGCTTCACAGTATAAATTTGGAGCAAAAAGGCAACCTGACTAAGGCCACATCACAAGCTGGGTGCCCATCATCTCTGCATGGAGCAAGACCAACACCCTCCTCCCTCCTTCAACCCCTTCCTCCATTCTCATACCCATGGGCATTTTGGTGGTGGTACCATGTGATTCATCCCATCTTCAAGGCCTGAACATTGCTGTCCTACATATACACCATCCTTATATATACCTACGGGGGCTCATGTCTGTGTCCATCCCACTGAGATTTCTTGGGAAAAAAATCCATTCTGGAGAATCTCCCACCTTGGTGGGCTGAGATGTGGGCTGAGGGTGCTACAGCACCAACAGTTTTTCTTAGCCTTACTGAAACCAAAGCTGGGTGTAGCTCCATCTTGAGTCTTCCTGATCCCAGACTGAGAGGATCCCTTAAAATATTGGCATAAATCACCATGAATTTATGGTTCTTTTGGAACAGGGCCAATGAAGATATAACTCTACAGCTTTTACCCACTATATTTTGTCAATGCTGCCTGAATGCAAAACCATCTCCCCTGCAACACAAATCACTGTGAGCTAAAGCAAGATTTCCAATAATAAGAGTAACATGCTGTTATCATACATTCTGTCCTAATTAGAGGAAGCTTATCCCAAACACCTGAGTTCAAGCCCTTGTTCAACCATCACTTTAGAAACGGCTTCCTGCACAGCGTGATTAGCAATGTTTGACATCAGGCAGCCCTACTTGGGCATCCTCCTCTTGAATTAAACAATATGACCGAAAGCAAGATCCTGGATCATCAAGTCCAGCCCTTGTTGGCATTGTACCTTGAGCAGGAACTTGTCCTTTGAGAATTGTTCACATTTCCACCCTCTTTCCTTCCCTTGGTGACTCCTTCAAAACCTCCCATCTCTTAACAGCGAAGGTAGAGATTAAACCCTAGTTTCCAGCCTAAACTCACTCATATTCATATTTGCTTCTTTAAATGCCAAAATTGTTCTTCAAGTAGCAGCCTAACCCTGACATTTCATTTCTGATGGAACAATCAGAAACTTCTCGAGAGCTGAAGAAAGGCAACCAGTTCTCACGGATGCCTCCAAGAGAGGCTTTCCACCCTCTTTATACCCTACGAGCACTTCCACACACCCCTTCCAGTTTCCATTTAATTCTTCTTCAACACAGCTAACAGGAGCTGCAGCTGAGAACAAGGTATGACGGGTACCGTGAAGGCTTCTCCATCTCTTCTGCTCTGCTTTATCTGCTTTTTCTTGCGTGGTTTCTTCACATGTTGGGCTCATCGCTGCTCTGTGATCAACCTGAGTAATGGAGATATGCTATCTGCTGGCAGTAATAAATGGCTGTTATTCTCTTTTCTTCCACTCCTGTTAGCTCCACAACAGACAAACACTTCGCCAGACACCAGCTCAACTCCGGGCACAATGGACTTATCCATCAGAGAGGAGCTGCTGACGATAAAACCTCCATTTGGATGGAGACTGATTAAATAAATATTACTTGCTGCTGTTTGTGTAGCCAAAGCCCTGCTTTGAAAAAGGAGCCTTGCTGATCTTTGGATTCGCCCACAAAATCAAGTGCACCTTCAAGTCTAGCTGGAAAAGAAAAGAAGAAATGATGGGCTGAAAAGTCCCACTCCGTTTTGTGCAAAACAAACAGAAATAGAGGTAAACACGTTAAGACAGTGTGGTACAATGACAAGCAGGCAGCAAAGCAAAGGGAAAAGATTGCACAAAGCCAAGTGCCTAATTGTGCATCTAATTTTACCGTGAATTACAAGCGAGAAAAATGTGCACAGATGAAACTGTCCTCCAATCACAGAGAAATTTATAAAGTTTTTTGATTTTTTTTTTCACTTCTAACAAAGAGACTGCAATGGATAAAGAAATTCAGAGCATGGCAAGCGCTGCCGAACATAATTAACTGGCCTGATGTGGAAAAAAAGAGAAAGAAATGGGGAAAGGGTGGTAATAATCTGCTCAGGGTGACTGGAAATAATGAGGATTCCCTCCTGCCTCAAACAGAGAGATGTTTCTGCAAGGTTCTCACTGACAACTGAGGTCTCCTCCACAAAGGAAAAGAAATTATCGGCTGGGGTGATGGCCTTATTTGCACAGCCTCTATTCCGAGATAACCATGTGAAGAGGGAAGGTGTGGGAGAGAAGAGGATGTTTGTCCAGCTGCCACCGCTAAGCTCTGAGGCTCCCAATGGTCATTTGTTTCACTGGAGGGTGGCAGGACATCTGGATGATGCAGCAGCCACTCTAGGGGTGCTTACTTAGTCCTGGTGTAGAGCAAGAAGCCTCCCCTCTACCGATGAAGAAAATCTTTTGGGTCAACTACTAATAAAATTCTTATCCTTCTTGGAGAAGCTTCTACTGAGCCAGCTCCTGGAGTGAGTTCCCTGCAGCTTGCCTCCTTGGAAGCAGTGGAGATGGAGGGACCATCCACCGAAACACAACATTTGTCTCCTTTCAGTTGCAAGGGAGAGACACACGTGCATTTTTCTGCTCTTCAAAATTCATTCACAGCAATTTGAGTGAAGCTGTGATTATATTTGTCAGTGGGGATAAGAGGACTATCTGTTGCTTGCTGAACTCCTGGGCACACAAGTTCTTCTGGTGGTTCATAGCCCCCGTGGGCAGAAGGAGGACTCGAGCTAGTAGGTGCTGGCTTGGAGAACGTCCTCTGGTTTCTCTCGTGCCAGATGAGGACACCAAGTGTACGTTTGGTTTTCAAGATCAGAAAGGTCTTTCACAGACCACCCTCCTCCTTATACATTCACTTCCATGCAAAAAAAAGGTAAAAATCATAGAAGATGAGAAGGAAAAGGATGGAGAACCTTCAAGTGAGATGTCCTGAAACTATCTGAGCCCAGCCACAGGCCCTCACATCACGCTGCCTGCCAACTTCTCCAGCAAGAGCCACCATCCTCCAGATGAGCCATCAATGTTCCTTTCTCCTCCTCTGGCCACGTGGAAAGGACCGCTCTGCTGCTGTGCCATGCAGCGAGAAAATCCTGTTTCCTTAGGATTTGCTCGGAATGGTTTTACCTCCATCATCCTTGATGATACAAACCCAGAGAAGGAAAGGGAGCAGCATGCCATAACCAGAGCCTAAACTACCGAGGAGCCTTGGAAAGGGTCTTTGGGCAGACCATTACCTACGTGCTGCAATACATGGACGTTTGATAACCCAAAAAACACTCCAAGTTCTTGGCCCACAGGGCAGCAGAGGTATCTCCAGCGGAACAGGAGGAGGAATTCAATGGATTAGCAGGAGACGCCACCATCCATCGCTTCTTCCCCTTCTCATCCTTTTAAGGACCTTGGCCCATTCCTGCCAAGTCAAACACGAGTTATCTGCGCCAAAATACCCAATGGCTGGGTACGCGGTGGCCAACAACTTGTTCCATAGGTCCTCATCATCTCGCAGCCTAAACAGATTAATATTATTTGCTTTCCTCAGGCTTCCCAGGCTGCTGCATAATAACGGTGCTTTAGCCTGGGGGGCTTTCTTTCTTTTTTTTTTTTCCAGCTTGCTGTGAGCACAGCCAAGACGTCTCACTCACAAGAGAAGGAACGTTTCATTCCAGCAAACCTGTGAAAAATAAACCTCACACACCAGTTGTCACCAATGATTTCTGGCGTCGTGCAATCCTGTGTGAGGCTGGTGCCTCTTGACAGCGCGTGCCTTGGAAATCGATGGATGTAAATGCCTCAGCCCTGGGAATATTAAACCAAACCTGCAGCGTTGGCCATAAATGAGTCTCTGTAAGCAAGTGAGGCCTTCAGCAGCCTGCCTGGCTCCATCGTGCTCAAACACAGCAGCGGCCACCGCGTTTCAGTGATTTAATAGTGCAAGAAGAGAAATCCTTCGAAGGTTACAGGCTCTGCCTGGGCTAAAGTGCAATCCAAAGCTACAAAAATAAACCTGCAAAACGTTTTTCTCCACCAGATGACACATTCTTGCTTTACAGGGGCATGGGGGAGAGACTCGCGGTGAAGTTTTACAGCCCTGCAGGGAGAAAAGTAGTATCTGGAAACGAGATGCAGTGTGAGGGCCTCGTGGGTGACGTGAGGGGCCACATCACATGTTCCTGAACTTCAGCTTCTTCGTCCCTTGCTCTCCAGAAGATGCAGCCCAGAAACAGCTGCAGATATGGGCATGCAAAAGGGAATCAAAGGGGAATTGCCGTGGGGTAGGTGTTTGCAATGCTTTGACTTGGGGTTACCTCTTGTTTCCGAGCAGGTCTCTTATGGGGACCGCTGACATGTCACGTTCTCTCTCCATGCTTCCGTGTCCAGCATG